AGAGGTTATGTGGGGTACGTGATGTGTTTGAGGTGCCCCATGCTATCCTTGTGTCAATGTGCGGATCTGGATACTTAGATTTGTCTGGTTCTAACGCATCCTCCCGACGTCAGTCCCCAGCCAATGTTGGCCGACGGTCCCTTACGCATAGGAACCCCTTCCTTTCAGCATCATCTTGCGACCATTTCCTGAAGCAGTTTTTTGTGCGCGGTGTGCCTAGAATCTCGGTGGAAGAGGTCTGACCACGACGATGATGCATGAGTTGCGAAGCAACATGGCATATGCAAGCAGAGAACCACTCCAGTACAAACAGCTGCTTGTTTTTCGAGTACATGCACCGACTTCTGGGTTGCTGTTAAGGAACTTAAATTCAGTTATCATAATGGGTATATATACTAAATAATGGGGTTTCCCCAATATACTAACTCAATTCAAGTTCCCTTTTTTAACCCTTAAATCCCTATATTCCCCCAGTTTCCATTTCATTTTCCATTTTCTTTTCCATTTGATTCTCCATTATAGGGGGATGATATACTAAGTTAATTTAAGTTCCTTAACAGCAACCCAGACTTCTGACCCTTCTGGGCTGCCAACCCGATCGTTAATCTTCCCCATCACGCCATTGAGCGCCGCCTTCCCCTTCTTGAAGCCGTTCATGGCCTACACGTCACAGACATCAAAGGCGAAAAGCCAAGTATGCTGAACCTGAACCTCATAATGTAAATGTAGCCCGTAGTTATCATGAGGAGCAAAGCAGGACTCACATGACAGTTGAAGCTTGCTGTGCGCAGGTCAGGATTTTGCTTGCACAGCAGATAAAACTATGCCAGCCTGAGCGCTAGCGCTGTGTCGGCCAGTGCTTGGCACATATATCAGAAAGAGACACGCCATCTTGGGTGAGCTCATGGAGGCTAGCTCTGTGAATTTAACTGAGAGTTCTTGAGACAGCCATTTGCTGCACAAGCCGGGAAACACTAAGACTAGTAGTGCCATCACCTGCGCGGCCCGCGGGGCGGGGTACCAGGGCTTCGGCAAAACAAAAGAGGGCAAGCTCAAAAAGCCTAGCTATGCAGACTTTACTTCTGCTCTTCACGGATTGGCTCCACGGCGCGAGCACAGCGAACCCCTCAGCCATCAGAACACTGGGAGACATGGCAGGCAAATGCTTGCAACGGAGAAGTTGTAAATGAAGTGGCAGCGGACACGCCCTAACTACCGCTGCAACTGCCAAAGTCTCCGGCCCCACATCTTGCATGGTGAGGCTCCGGTGTGATGCGCCGCACCATCCGCTGTGAGGTGGCTTCGGGCACAGATTCTATAACGATAACCTGGCAATGTGAGACCAAGCTTCAGTACATGTAGCTCCCAACTTGCTGTGCTACTTCTCTGAGGCAAGCCCATCTGACATTATCCGAGCGGCAGTAAGACTTGTGGCACATGAAAGAGCCACCTTTCTTGATTTTCTCCTGATTCATCGTGGCATGGCAAACGCATGCTCCAAAACTCTCTGATGCTAAGAGGCCCATGGGACAGGTTTTGGTTACACCTTGTGCAGAAAACATGTTAGTTTCCATTGTATTTTCCATTGTCCCAATATAAGCCCAATATAACCCCAATACAACCCTAATATTCGCCCAATGGATACCTAACTTTGGGGCTTCCAGAAGGGATGAATGAATATCCGAATATACTATAATATACTACAAAAGTGCCATAACATACTATAATACACTATAATATACTAAAATATAATATACCCTACTAAAACAGCATGAATGGCCACCAAGCAACGTACTGTCCGGAGGAATCCTTTTTCAAGTATCCCATCTCCACTAGCTCGTCCAATTCCTCAATTTCCTCAGCATAATGACGGGTGCAACAGATGGCCTAAATCTGAGAGACTCATCCCTTCTGGAAGCTCCAAAGTCAGGTACCCATTGGGGTAAAATTAAGGCTATATTGGGATAACGGAAAAAAGGAAACTACTAGAATGGGTTCTATACGGTTTAGGGTTTAAAGAGACTTTTGTCAAGATGCAGGCCCTTTCGGATCCACTAAGCCAGTGTCTTTGTTCTTCTCCGTCAGAAAATGCACTGGACTATACCAGTCGCTCGTCCATTCCCAAACATTGCCGACTAGGTTGTACAGGCCCCAATCCTGAGCCAAAACAAGTTTGCAAAAATCATTGCTACACATGCGCTTGTGCTAGACCCTAGACCAATGCGGTCTAGGCAGCATTCTGAGGCCCATAAGCATCCACGGGCGCGGTCTTCAGGTATCCTTGAATTGCAGAACTGCAGCGATTAAGCGAACCATGGCCTACACTGGAAATTGACTGCCCATCCTTCAAAACCTTATAGTCCCCCTGAAGTAGATAGAACGTGGCTTTGGGTATATTATAATAAGGTCCGCATATACCCCATAGTTTATCTACTTAAGGGCGACTATACAATCTTGGCAGGCATAGCGGTGCGGTCAAGATGCCGTCCTTTGCTGTATTTTCTTTGGGAAAGGTCCCCTGCCAAATGTTCATCCGATGGCGTGGCTTGATCTCCTTGCTTTCATTGCCATACCTTGGATTATGTAGGGATCATGGACAAGAAAATGGAAACTACTATAGTGTATTGGGATTATATAAGGATAATGGACAAGAAAATGGAAACTACTATAGTATATTGGGGTTAGATAGGGATCATGGACAAGAAAATGGAAACTCCTGTAGTATATTGGGGTTAGATAGGGATCATGGACAAGAAAATGGAAACTACACTAGCACATTGGGGTTGTATAGGGATAGCGGACAAGAAAATGGAAACTCGCTCTCTCTCTAGTATATTGGGGTTATATAGGGATAATGGACAAGAAAATGGAAACTACTATAGTATATTGGGGTTATATAGGGAATAGTGGAAAAGAAAATGGAAACTACTATAGTATATTGGGGTTATATAGGGA